CTGTTTAATAAATCTTATTTGTTTATACCTCATTCTGTTCTGTATAGATTCAATTCAATTCAGTTTTATTTGTATAGCGCCAATTCATAAGAGGGCCCATTTCAGAATCTTGCTAAGGGCCCCACGGAGGTAATACAAAATTACCTAGTGCAGCTTCAAAGATGTAAAGTCTTCTTAAATCACATGGACCTTGTCTCATTTTAAACAACTTTTGGATAACCTTCATGCAGGGACGCTGGAAGTCAGTCAGAGTCGGGGGTGCTGAGACACAGTCTGTCTACATTATGGTGTCGTACTAAATGAAGAAGCTCAAGGGAAAATTACTTTACACACAGGCCCGAAATACAATCATGCACATGCAGGGCTTATAGACACGCAAACATGGAGAGCAGGTTGGGTGATGAGTTGCCAAGTAGAGGGGTAGGAGTTGGGTGCCTTGCTCAAGGGCACCTCAGCAGTGCACAGGAGGTAGAACTGGCACCTCTCCAGATGCCAGTCCACACTCCATACTGTGGTCTGTGCTGTGGACCCTCTGGTTCCCAAGTCCCTACAGTTACTGTCGCCACAAAATGCTAAATGCATGACACTCATGATTTAATTTGGATGGCCAGGGTAATTTATAGCTTATTTGATAGTTAGTAACAACATTTTACACAACTAACAACTAACTTTTTAGTGTATAAAACTGATTTTAAAAAAACAAAGAAAAACCTCTTTCCTGCTATAAATACCAGTGTACACATGTAAATCCCTGTAAAGGAGAACGTCAAACATTTGAACTTATGGTTTTCATTATGCCAGATTTCTAGCACCCATGCCCTATTTTTAGGTGTTTCCCCACACTTCCACACATAAGTTACATATGGAACAATACATAAAGAGGAACACAATGAACCTTGATTTGCTTTTAATGTAGTTCATTTCTTACAACATAATACAGGTGCACAATGCATGCTGCCACAGTAAGCCTACTTTAAAATTAGAAAAGCAATTTCATGATCTTTCCTTTCCTGTAATCATTGACACTGTGTATGGGAGGTGTGTTTGGGAAGGGTTGAGACTTTCTGTTTACATCCCTGTTTACATGCACGTGCATATTAATGTTTAACAGGATTAATCAGAATGCACAACTGACAGATGTAGTACATTTTCAGAAACTTGTATGGGAAAAATATTACAGCAGATAAACAATGTGATCCATATGATGAAGGGTATTTAAACCTGCAGCAAACTCAAAACTAATAAACTAAACATGTTTGGACACATTTGTGTATCTGTCTGTCCTCAGAATCAGCTGTCAGTACTTTCTCTCTTTTATATGTTTACCTCCATAAGTCGATAGTAGGTGAGAGGACACAGATCAACGTGCCTCCGGAGTGAGATAAACATTTGGTCATTTGGTGGCCAGGCTCCCTTGGCGCACCTGCGGCACGCTTGTATACTGGGGTGGGATCATAAAAAAAGCATTATCATACATTATGGGTGTGTGTGTTACAGGCTGTTGCAATCCAATCACATTCACTACCTTTATCCTCTTTCAACGCAAGGCTCTGTCGCCATGACGCACTGTTTATGAATTCTGTGGAGAGTGTTCTCCAATAGGGAGTTATTGTTGTCTGGGACATGCAGTATATATGTATATGGCCATGTTTTCTGTGCTTAATAGTGCAGATTTTGTTTTTCACAGTGGTCCTTCTGCAGAGAAATACCACTGTAAAGTAAACTATTTTAAAGAACACAAATATATTGGGAGCTAGGCCACACTTTGGCCGGACTCATAAGATAGCCCTGATGGAGTTATTAGCTCAGAGAGTTTTAAAGGTCCAGTGTGTAACATTTAGAAGGATCTATTGTCAGAAATGGAATATAATATTCATAGGTATGTTTTCATTAGTGTATAATCACCTGAATGTAGAATGTAGTTTTCGTGACCTCATTGTTGTTTTGATTACTTTAAGAATGAGCTGTTTTTATCTACAGACGGGAGCGGGATCCTCTTCTATGGAGGTCGCCATGTTTGAATACCATTGTTTGCTACAGTAGTCAAGAAGGGACAAACCAAACCCTGGCTGTAGATAGATTTGCAATCACCATATTTTCTTCTACACACTTCACAGTGCGAGTGGTGTTCAGTTAGTCGCAATCTACAACTTCACCACTAAATTCCACTAAATCCTCCACACTGGACCTTTAAAAGTAATTTATCCTGATGAAATGCTGGTTAATACTGTGAGCTGTTGCTCCCAGTAGACTGTGGAGGCACAGAGCACACAGAGAGACATTGCATTGCAAATACTCAGACACTAATCCATGGAGACAAGGGTAAACATTGCAGAATGTTCCTGTAGGTCTGCATCATTTTATGGACACAGAATCTTACTTTAAAATTCTCCACTCTGCATGCTGTTGCGTACTGTTTTATTCAGCATATTGTTAGATTGTTCAGGTGCAACAATGTAGTGATGTAGTACCATCATGCTGAATGCCTTCTGTACAGTAAAACCTCAGCTGACCATGTGGAGGCACTAAATTCATGGTTACAGATGTAAACATTTAAACAGCTCTGTGGTTCTGCTGAAGTTGTGTAATCTGGTTCATATGCCCTACTGTCTTTACTCAGTGTATTCAATTCTGACTCTTTTATCAACAAAACAAAAAAGACTATAAGACTTTTTAAGTGCCTCGCCTTTTGAGTCACATTGACAGTACTGTTTGCTCATTATTGTTCATTGAACAGGCTGACTACCACAAAACTGCCCCAACAGCAACGTAGTTTTGTTAATTATTAAATTATTTTCAATGCTTGGGGGTTTTCTGCAAATACAAGTCGGCGGTATCACTTGCATCCCATGTCAACGTATGTAAGTCATAGTGATAGGAAACTGAATGTCCTCAACAATGGCTGAATGTCCATTGTGTTTCCTGTCAGCTCCTCGTCTGCACTTTTAGTGTGTGGCTGCAGTGCTACTATTTAACTTATTAACGTCTTTTGTGTCACTTAGTCAGTGGTGAAAAGTAACTAAGTACATTAACTCAAGTACTGTACTTTAGACTAGTACCTTTTTGAAGCATTTGTACTTTACTTGAATATTTCCATTTCCTACTACTCCACTTTATACTTCTACTACATTACACTTCAGCGGCAAATATTGTACTTTTTACTCCACTACATTTATTTTATAACTTTAATTACAAGTTATTTTTCAGATTTTGATTAATGCTGCAACATAGAAGAATGGGGAACATATTCAGAGTTAGAAAGACTTTATTTAGAGTTATTTGGACACTATTAACACTTGTAGTTTTGTGTTTTGTTACGTAAGAATAGACCACATTTATTAATGCTGCATGCACATGCAATCATGCAAATGGTAGACGACAGAACGGATGTCATGTTATTGGATGAGAGCAGGACGGTAAACTTGAGGTAAGGCTGGCAGAGAATGCCCGCAACAGTAACGATATTTTGCTGTCCTCGGCAACGGTATTTAATTCCGTTTGAATGCAGCATAAGTGTTGTTAAGGGAGAATGAGCATTATTGTGGTATACTACACTGCAATTCATGTACAAATGTACAATAAGCAGTAATTAGGAGGATATTGAGGGAAAATGCTTAGTTAATGGCCTGGCAATTGTAGTGCTTTGTACTGACTAATAAAGAGCCACTATGTGACTGATATGCATGCTAATTAGCAACTAGTTAATAGTGAACATGTGTACCCTAGTGTAAAGTGTTAGCGCAACATTTACTTTACTTTTAGGTTTTAATCTGAGTCCTCCTTCCCCCACTGGCTTGGTGAATAAGGGTCATACTGTCAGTGAGTGTGATGTTTAGGCTTTTGAATTACATTATTGGGAATTATGCTAAGCATGCAGTAACAATGATACGTGTTTGAAAGGATCACACCAAGCTTCATGCAAAACCAAGCAGACATAAACTGTGCCACTTTAATGTTTAGCTAGTTTATCAGACTGCTGTCAGTGTCACTAGGAAATCATGTGTGTCAAAATGTAACCAGGTTCAAGCTTTATCGCGTCAGCATCACGCAGTATGGGAAACTCATGTAAATTCTCATCGCAGCGGATCACATTCTAACGAACTGCGCGAGTCACAGTCGGAAGGCGAAAACACTGTGAGCTCCAGCCAGGAAACAATTAAAATGTTGGATAGGAGTTATAACGTTGTAACGCCAGACACAAATTGTTTAGCCGAGCGTGCCTCCAGCTATTCTCCCCTTTCCTTTAAACACGAGGCTGAGATGACTCATTTGTTTGCAGTTTGCTCAAAGTCTTTTATACAAATTTCAGCACATCAATTTGAGTAGAATATTGCACAATAATGGATTTTTATGCAAAAATGTCTCTTTTTTTAATAAAAAAAAGGAATAGTTTTTGGCAGGAGGCATCAAAGTCTGTCACCAACTGTCTGACTTGAGATGCCACATTATTCTGGGCTGTTACTTCTTCACTGCCTGGTAAAGGTTTTATTTATTCTAAAGCTCAAACTAAAACAAAAACAGAGTCTCTCCCACAAACCAGCAGAGAGAACACTCCTGCAGCTACAAATCAAAATGTGGAAACAATATATCCTTTCAAATTTGGATGATGAATGGGGGTTTGGGGAGGAGTGACATAACGCCATCCTCACCAGCCTCTCTCTTCCATGCTCCATGCTCATGCTTCCAACCCCTAATCTTGACTGCAAATGCAAATAGTCTAAAAAACGTCCCTACCAAACATTTGCATTTAAACAAATAGATAAAGGTCATTTTGAAAAGCTGCCTCCTCATGACTGCAGTGTGAGGTGGCATGTTCCATGTGTCCCTGCCCTCCTGACAGCCTAGTTAAAGCTCCCACTGTGGCACGCCACTCAGTGTGGTGCTACGCGCTGGGATTTAGCTACTGTAGGCAAATACAGCAGAGGGAGAACAGAGAGGCCTCTGTGTGTGTGTGTGTGTGTGTGTATGTCTGCGTGTGTGTCAGACTGCTCAACAGCATCATGGAGACAGGTAAGACACATTCATATACAGGCTGCTCCTGCAGTCATTACTATTGGCATATTGTTTTTTAACCTGTTAAAAATCAGAGTTTTTGCTTTTTTAATTTCACAAGGTAGTGCTTTTATTTTGGAGAGTGCATGGCAAGACTTTTACTGGGATCTTTTTTTTATGTGTAATAATGTCATCTATATTCTGGCTAGTTTTTATGACACAGGTGCTTTCCTACTATTGATTTCTTGTAAGATATATGTTGATTTAGTAGCAATGATATAAGAAATGTACCCGCAAGGTCAAAGTAAGATGTCTGCTGAATATAATTCACATAAATCAGTGTTTGATATTTGAAAGATGCTTTTAATATTAAGCATGCTTGGTCATCATATGCTAATTAATAAGAGTCATATAGTTACATTTATTTAAATAAGGAACAATAGCTTTCAGAATGATGTTTGGCAAAGCAGCAAAGTGCAAAATATATATTTTTATGATGTAATGCAACATAACATTTCATATTTTCAAGAATCTCATTGGGGCTTATCTAAAATATCCATTCAAAAAGCTGGGATCTTTTACATAAAGTTTTTTGCATGCAATTTCCGTTTGCATAATAAAGTTTGCATTTTCATTGACTTTATGCCTCTGCTGCTTCCCAGGAATGTCCCCAAATCACACCAGCACATGTGTGAGATTTGTAATATATAATAGCAAATGTGCTGCTTCTGCTCCTGTGTAACTACTATTTGATTCTTTTGTAGTCAAGTCCTCCTCCGCTGCAAGATCTCAGCCAGTGTTTGTAGTAAATTGCCTCTTTTTAGAGGGCCATTTGCATTGACCAAACCAAAGGCAATTTCCATGACATTTACACACCAAAGAGTCATTCGCCTATATGAATGAAACTGTGAAGCATTCAAATGAACAACACATTTGTGGGGATGGATGAAAATTTGTGTGAAGTCAAACTGTTTCTGGATTTGTATCAAATGTTCAAACTTCTTTTTTCTGCTCCGTCTAGAATACTCTAAGAGAGTGTACCAGGGAGTCCGAGTCAAGCACACAGTCAAAGACCTGCTGGCGGAGAAACGATCCCGACAGACAAATGGGCCCAGATACAGTGTAAGCACAATCTCCTCTAAACCTTTGCCTTTGTCCTGTCCTGTCTCTCCCCACTTCATTTTTCTCCCAAACCAAACAAAACAGCCACAGTTGACATTCTGTTGGTGGCACAATTAAGAGGTCGCCTTTTAAAAATCCTCCTCTCCTTGTTTACATTTTGGCTTGTTTTGTGGACCAACGATCCATGGTTGATCCATTGACCACCTGTACCTCCCCCCCACCTTCTGTCTCTGCTCCCCTCAAGCGCTCATAAAGCCAATCTGTAAATAGCTGAGCACCGTGTGTGTGGAGAGAGACACAAAGCACCCAAGTCCCATCCCGACCTCACAAAGGAACGCTGACACAATGCTCGCAATGGCGGCGATCTCCCAAAAACTCCCCCTGAGGTGGAGGCGGGGTGGGAAGACTGAGCTGGACAGGTAGCATAGAGACACAGAAAAAGGGCAGTGGAGGAGGCTGCCTATGCAAAGTTTGATCCACACACACCTGCCAGCCGACATTGTCCTCTGCTGAGCAGAGGCCGCAGACAAGCCTCCCATTGTTGTCTCGGAAACGCACGCCAACACACTCACACAATCAGAGAAATCATGGGCTCTGCTTTTTAGACCTCTGCATGCACAAGCAAGACCGGCTTTTCATTTTGCACAAACCGCCTGTCAAAAGGCTTTTACAGGACACCATTCACTTTTTGTTTGCTGTTTAGCATCGGCATGTCCACTCTATAGATATGGAGGCCGCTAACGACTCGCGTAATGGGGGGATTGTGTGAGAGACAACAAGAGGAGATATCATCAGATGCATTTTGTATGAGATTTCCAGCTTGGACTTTTATTCAGAGTTTGTAACTTTAGAAAGAGGTCACAAGCACTGGGCTTGGGTCCTGTGATATGGGGGGAGTTGTGAGTCAGAGGACAGTAAGGCAGCAGCAATCCTTAGCTGTGCTGATGAAAGAGTTATTTAAACACAAGTTGTTGTGGATTCAGAGCTGCTCTGAAAGATGGAATATACATGTGGTCGGGTTCAGATTCACTTGGCAGAGCCAAACAAACAGATTTTTAGGGTGCAGGTGGCTAACTGGTAACTTCGAGCTAGCATGTAAGCCAGCCTTATGACCGAAGATGTTCATTTTTGAAGATCCCCTCCAGAACTTTATTAAGACAAATATATAAATACACTAATGTGTGTTTTTTTCCCACAAAAAAGTATGATTTCCACATTAAAATCCTTTGAAGGTCATCTCCTCCTACCACATTAAACCTTCCATAATCTCTGAATATGCAAATGTTGTTCATTTCCAGCTTCAAGTTTCTACATCACACTGTACAAGTTGCATACTGGACCAGGACTGACTTACTCACTACCAATGAGCACAGAGAAACTTTACACTGTTAGCAGATGAATGTGAAAACATCAACATCCTTCTAGTGTCAAACTGCACATACAGCATTCAAACAGCACACTGTAGGAATGAGAAGCAAAAATTATTTCTGAATGGAGGGGAACTTTAAAATTAACCTTTTAAGTTGTTGCCATTTATGTCTTTCCAACGCAGTTTGGCTTCTTTTGTTTCATTTGTTTCAGATATTCTTTGATAATTAAGGTTAAGACTTCTAATTGTCATCAGATCCCATTCAAAGACCAAAACCAACAATGAATTGATCCTCCTGACGAGTACTGTGTGTTTGCCCAAAGCCTGATATATGTTATTTCTCTGTGTGTGCTATAGTGTAAAACTAAAAATAGCTACATGCTCCTGTACAACCTTGGCAGAAGACCCATCACCCGTCGTATAAAGCTGAATTGAAATTGGTTTTCAGGGTCTTTAAGAAAATATCAATGAGCCACATTTTTGTATTACAATAAAAATACACTTAGACTTAATCTCACATACACAATCCTTAATTACTCTACAGCTGAAAATAATGCCCAACAAATGCACTATTTCCTCCTAGTTGAGTAACTTTTCCTAAAAACCACAGCGTCCATCTGTTTTAGGAAATTACTGAGCCTTTTCGGAAAATGAAACTTTGTTTCGTGATCCTTTTTGTAAAGATTTGCATCTCCTGTAGGTACCAGGTGAGAGCTACAGACAGACAGGGTAGAGACGTCAGAAAGTGTTGTTAGACAGGCTAATGCATTATTGGTTTTGGTCTTTTATGGGATTTGTTCATGGTAAGAAAAAATGGAATAATGCAAACCGTACGCTTTAAATCTGGCTCCAGAACAGCTTTGCTTCTGAAAAATCTGTGTAATATGTATGTAAGTTGCATCGTTTGAGTGGGGCTAAGATACATCTTATTTGAAGTTGTTTGCAAAGTGCTGACATCAAAATGAAACCAGAAATGAATGGTGTAAAAGCAGAACTGTCCAAACTTGACTTTAAACCATGACTTCCAACATGTGGAAGCAGCAGTGTGTTGAATAGGAGACAAGTGTCTCTGTCAGGGGTCTATTGAGTCCACAGAGAAGACAACAATAACAGTTCAAGAATCTAGCTTTGGCCTCTTCACAATAGCAATAACAAGCTCTCTACAGTGTTACACAACTCAAAATGCTGAATTACTGGTTCAGTTTCATAGCTGAGCAACCCTTTACCTTAGATACAGAATTAAAAATAAAAGATTCATTTGCATATAGGCTGTCATTTCAAATGCTTATTTAGAATAAAATCCAAAAGAACCCTACATTAAAGTGTGATGATGTAACTTTTGAAAGAAGAAATATCACATTCTTACTCTTACAAATTAAAAGTTAAATAAACAAGCAATAAAGCACACCTTTGATCAGTGGCTTTGCTGCTACAGTCATATTTGGTCTAGTGTGACCAGTAGATTATGGATGGTGGATAGATATAGCTGTGTGTTTGACATTACTGAGTTAGTTCACTGACTGTTATACTCAGGGGCATGCTCAGAGGGGGGTCTGGGGTGCCCCAAGTGCCACCCAATTCAGAATTAGGATACTGGTATCATGTGAAACTATGACCTAATCCATTGGTACCAATCATGCAATACTAGCATGTGGGGGAGGGCCCCCAAAGTTAGGTAAAATCTTGGCAATGGAAAAACTCAGAGGTTTCAGGTTCAAATGGATCCCTTGACCTCTGACCTCAAGATATCTGAACGAAGATGGGTTCTATGGGTCCTCATAAGTCTTCCCTTTGCAGTCATGCCCACTTTATGCTAATCCCATGCAGTTTTTTGCATGTGGTATAAATGTGTTATTTTTGCCAAGTGTACTTGAATATGTCTGCATATTGGGGTTCATAAACAGTATAACACCCCTGGTTACAAAGCTTCATGGGGGGTCGCAGGGCCTTCTTGATTTTAGGCCATACTAGAAAACTTGAAAAAATACACACAGTAGGCCTATGTCTCAGGATTTGGTTCGTTTCTGTGAAGTAATATACATTTAAAGTAAAATCATTGTCAAATGAAACAATGGCCAAGAAAACACTGAATTTGTCAAAAAAAAAGAAGCCTACGAAGTGTGTATAATCTAACTTAACTTAACATTATAGTTATTTACTGACATCAAACTTGGAAAGAACACAAGTTCATCTGATTCCTGTTCCCACAATTCACTCTTGAAGTGTAAGGAAGTTTGTATAATTCTTTAAAATGATGACAAATGCATAATACAGACAGAGAATTGTATAGAAAGTTCCCCAAGCATGAAATAATCTGCTCAAAATTCGTCCAAATCATTAATTTTACACAAACTTCTTGCACCTACTGAGTTAATTATTTAGGTTCATTGTACAGTTTTTAATATAATATGAAATACCCATAAAATATGCCACTTAAACAGGGGTCATTTGTTTACTAAATGATATAAAAGGGGTCCCTTAAAGAAAAAGGTTGGGAACTACTGCTCTAACTGCCACTTGTGGCAACAGTTCAGGGGGCACTTCATGAATACATTTGAACTGAACTGAACCTGGTGTAGTATTTTTTAGCTTAGAGAAGTTTTATTATAAAGTAATTTTAAATTTCCTATAGTCAGCTCAGTATATGTTGGCCATACTTCCATCACACTGGCTTTTACATGCAGGTATATAGCCTGCAGTTCGGCACCTTTTCAACGTGAGGTTTGCTTATATGTTTATATATGACTCATGAAGACCTAAAGACACACAGTAACTAAAGCCATCCACGTCCTTGTGTTAGCTAATGCCACCTTTTATCTGCGGGAATAAAAGGCCATTGAGAGCGAGGAGCAAACTCTGACCACAGGGTCGGTCTCCTCATGTTGGAACACGGAGAGCCACAGTGACAATAAAAAGACCTTACATCATTTCACCTCATCTGCCTCTCCTTTCTGAGAACGTTTCTATTGAGGTGCTGTGCCCAAACATGCTGCAGTGCTATTACATAAATGATTAAGGACAGTGAGAAATGAAGTCAGTGACATTTTATGAGGCTGGAGACACTGTGCGATGCTTGTCAAGCAAGAACTAAAGATAATACTGAATTTTAATGATAGCTGTAGGGACATTGTGGCACTTCAGCAGCAAATCATGATCAAATAAAATACTGAATAACAGAATAGAAACAAAACATAGGAGTCATTTGAACAAAAAGTCCTGAAAATTTAAATACTAGAGCATGATGAATGAAAAGTAAGTAAAGTGACTGCAATAAAGCAAGAAAGATAAAAGAGACTTTATGCGTAATGTTCAAATAGTCTCGCAAAAAATGATGTAACCTGTGTGTTCACTTGTTATAGCATGAAACGGTGGGACTATTTTGAAAGTATCAGCGTGGTAATGTGAGCAGATGAAGAGTGTTTTACATAGGAAGGAAGAGTTTTTCTCTGAAATAATGTTAAATATATCCATCATCATTATCCTCCTACCCCCCGCCCTTCCTCCACCACACACACACACACACACACACATAGCCCGACAGTCAGAGCTTGAGCGAGCTGATTTCCATACACAGCCTTCAGAGATGCACTGGGCCGTACCTGGGCCACATGAGGAAGTCTTGGCACTGGCAAATCACATTCAAATTATGACCTCAAAATTTGCTTGCCTCCCGGCCAACGCGGGCTTAATATCAACTCTTTCATGTTAGCAGTATGCAAACAAGCGAGAGCCTCTCCTGTCAAACCCTGTCTGTGTTTCTGCTGCACTCTGATATGTCTAACTCTGCACGAATCTCCAACTGCTTTGAGAACAGAAACAGACAAATGATTCATGTTGGTTGTCAGGAAGATTAAGAGATTAACAACATGAAAACATAACATTTATGTCAAATATAGTATTGATCTAATATGACTAGATGAAGGAGCTAAGAGTAACAGGATGCAGCACAGACAAATAGACAATAAACTCGTCAACACTATAGACTCATGCTGTGCAGCCAAACATTGCTCTAATGGAGACGTAAATATGAAACTAGGAACAGTCATCAGCTGCATTTTCAACTTCAAATACCCAATTTGTCCAATTTAATATTGTAGATTCTGGTTTGCACAGATGAGCGCATGAATGTTATTTTGGTGAAACGTTGCTGTGATGATGGTGTTTTTTATACTCTTCCACATGATGGCTGTTTGGCTGCTTCAGCTCTGCCTGCACATCTTTTGTGATCAATGTTTCCTTGTGTTTTAACCTCTTATAATTTTTTTACCTGACTTTTTATATTTTATCTCCTATTGGAATTTTGGGAACTTTGTTTGAAATGACAGCATATTAAATGTGTCTCGTTGATGGAATGGTGTCTTGGGTTTAAACAGGGGCGGATCTAAAAAAATATTCATAGGGTGTCCAGAGGGAAGTATGGAGACTACCTAGTAAAGCATTGAATAGAAGTATCTAAAGGTAGCATTAGAAATCAATAAAAAAATGTATCGCCATATCTTCATAAATTTTTCCATCCATTAGTCTAAAATGAGGCCATAACAGATCATTCAATTACGTGTTACACATTGTTTTGTAACATGTTATTTTTATTTTTGATTTTTGATTAACCTAAACGAATGTGTTTATTTGACAGCATTTCAGTCAGCCAACTCAC